GTTCGAAATACTTGCGCGGAAAGGTGTTCCCACGAAATATGTGAACATCCTTCGTGCTCTATACTCGAACACTACAGGCCGCGTCAGGGTCTATGGTGTCCTGTCAGATAGCTTTTCGACTACAAGTGGCGTTCGACAGAGTTGCCCGATTTCCCCATTTTTGTTCAATTTCGTCGTGGATTCTATCATGGAGTGTTCCCTTGCGGAATCTCACGACGTAGGCGTTGAAGTGCTGCCTGGTGGAAGGTTAGTTGATCTAGATTATGCGGACGATATCGTCTTGCTTTTCGACATTGTTGAGGCGGCACAATCAACCCTGAATAGCCTATCCAGAGTGGTCCCATTATTTGGTATGCACTTCGCACCTTCAAAGTGCAAAGTGTTGCTGCAGGACCACCAGCCACTCGATGACCCCTTGACGCTTGCTAACGAGGAACTCGATGTGGTTGATCAATTCACTTATGTTGGCAGCTGCATCAGCAATGATGGGCGCATAGAAACTGACGTTAGCTCACGCATTGCAAAGGCCAGAGCTGCCTTCTTGAACCTGCATCATCTTTGGCGACAGAAGGGAGTTTCCCTCCGTCTGAAAGGCCGTGTATACAAGGCCGCAGTGAGGGTCGTTCTGCTCTATGGTAGTGAAAATTGGCCCCTTCGGTCTGAAGATCTGAGGCGCCTTCATGTCTTTGATCATCGTTGTTTGCGAAGCGTTGCTGGTGTCGGATGGCACCAGCGTGTCCGCAACAATGATGTGCGTAGGCGAGTACTAGGGGTGATGATCATGCTAGCTCCCTAGAACAACAGATAGCACTGAATAAGTTGCGTTGGCTTGGGCACGTGCTACGCATGCCTGGTCACCGCTTACCTAGGAGGGCCTTGTTCAGTCTACCAGGTGTCGGATGGCGCAAGGCTCGAGGTGGACAGAAGTTGACTTGGCAGCGGGAAATGAAGTCACTGACGACCAAACTGGGTGCCGTTGGTCCGTCTCGCCTTCCGGGTTGGAGTCCACGTGACTCACATTGTGCTTGGCTCGAGACTTTACAGGACATGGCTCGCAACCGACACCAGTGGCGCGTCTGCTGCCGTCTCCTAATCGGATTGTCTGTTTAAAGTGTGTTTGGCGCTGAGTTATCTGCGGGGTAATGGCTGATTATGACGCGTGGCAGTGAAAGCCGCAAGGAACCTGTCTCGCCGATGCCGCTTTATCTTTGCACGATAGCCAGCTGTTTGTGACGGTATGTTGTCTACACAAGGTGTATGCGCCTTGACCCTGAATGTTTGCTTAGGGCATTAAGGTTTTCAGGTAAGTCCCCTTTGTCTCCTTCTTATTATTCTTTATTTCATAGGTCATCATGGTTGTATGGCAGCGAAGCATCAGTTCAAATGTCTGATGTACTGCTGTTGATAATGATGATGATGATGACTCTTGGTGAACGAAGTCATGTTCTCTCGTTATCGTTATCAGAGGCTCTGACTCGTGCGGATGGTATCAGTGAGTTTAAGACCAAGACGTATGCAGCAGTGATGTGAAAGTGTATCACTAACACCAGTTAGTGGGACTGCAACTCTGCGCGAGGTGAAAACCAAGAGCGTTGCTAAACCAAAACTAAGTCATCCTCTTCCGATTTAATGCGGGTCTTTGACAGCTGGAAAAAGCTCTGAAGGAGAGTTAGCCTCATCCTAAGCCTCAGCCTTCTGCGGGCATCGAACCCCATCCCCGTGGTCGGTGCTTGACTATTATAAATGCCCCTAAGTCCAACAAGGATACACCAGCTGAAAGGATGGAGGATGATCAAGCGTTCCTAAGGCGTGTGGTCTTCCTCCTTTTTGATGAAAGTGATCTAGAAATCCATATCGTCTCTGCTTTTCGTCTCGGCAGGAAGCCCGACGACACTTCTAAGGTTCGTCCCCTCAAGGGCGTTTGCCAAAACGTGGATGGATGTCGCCGCGTTTGGAGAAAGGCACCGTTTCTTAAGGGAGAAACGTTCTACATACTGCGAGACTTCCCCCTAGAAGACCGGATCCGAATGAAGCTTGCATTTGATGAGCTACGGACACGCCGAGCAAATTGTGGAAGTAATCACATTGTGGATTTTCGCGTGGTTCAGAAAGCACCGAGAGCTCGCTGGAAGCCAATCTTTATCGTCCTAGGGTGACTAAGGAATGTATTGCGGATGATATTTGTTACTGTTCGTAGCCTATGTAGAAAACCTGATGTGATTCAGTTCCTTGCCTCTGATAGTTGCCCGGATCTAATGACTCACGGAGACTTGGACATCCTTGATTCTGAGGTGTATATTCCAGAGTATCTTTTATCCCGGTCCGATCGTTCTGTAACAAAGTCTGGCGGTGGTGTGGTTCTCTACTGGAAAGCAGATTTCATGGATCAGCTAGTGTAAAAGTCTACGACAATGATGGCGGGTTTGAAATTCTTTGGTGCCCGGATCCATGATGGACGCAAGGTGTGGTGGCAGGGGCTGTCTGATCTTGGGAGACTTTAGCGCTGCTGGTATCGATTAGAACTTACTCCAGCGCTATCTTCCTCCGGTGTCTTTTAGCGCTGTTTTCTTTGAAACCTTGCATCTCATTTATTTCAGCATGTTACAGAGCCCACCAGCATAGGTGCAGGTCAGTTGCCACACATCCTCGACGTTGTGCCCACACCGGCACTGATGTTTCTAACTTGACTACTTTCTAGCCACTGGGTAGGAGCGATCACTGCTTAGTTTCCTTTCACTTGATGCAACGTCTTGCCACTCTGACCCAACCGTGTACCATTGGAATTTCTGGCGAGTCGATGCAACTCGTTTGAAAACTACTGCTGGCATTACGGATTGGAGTATACCACAGCACTTAGACCCTGATAATGGCTGGAGTTTTTGTACTTCAAACTCATATCACTCATTAATCACATTGTCCCGCTATATAGAAGTAAACGTTTCTCCAAAGGCCCACGTTGGATTGATTGCGATTTAAGGTCCCTAATGAATCGACAACACAAATTGTGGGACATTTCAACACTACACAATCAGCGGTCAGGATGATCTGCACCCTAAGAAAACGCGAAAAAATACAGCATTATGGGTACCGATTGGTCGAGGAATCGACAACCGCTCACAATTTACTTTTCTCCTATCTGAATCATAATACCAAAGCTGGCGATGGGGTACATGCCCTGGTTTTCCGCAAACATGACACTATGCTTCATGCAGATGATGTAAATGCTGGAATTTTTGTCTCACACTATTATTCTATCTTTTCGATTGAAGCACCGTTGTCTCTACGTCTACCTCCACGCTAGCGCACTTTAAAATCAGCACCGACTCAATCGCAGAACTGCTCCTCGACTTAAATCCGAACTGCTTTCCGGGTCCTGATGGGCGGCACCCTCGGTTTCCCCAAACGTTGGGTGAGTACATTACCACACCTGTTTGTCAAAATTCTCAGCGATCTCTCGATGCAGGACGTCTCCCTCTTGCTGGGATGGTAGGCATCGTTAAGCCCATACACAAGACTGGAAACCGTCAAGATCCTGGAAACTATCGGCCGATTTATTTAACATCCCTAGTGTCTAAAGTCATAGAGAGAATTCTTACAAGAGCTTCGCATCGCCACTCTGATAATGTAAGTGTCATCACTCCCGCGCAACATGCTTTCCAGAACGCACACTTGTGGCCAACGAAAAATGGGCTAAATTGTTGGATTCCGGCAATCGCCTGGACGTCGTCTTTGTCGACTTCAGGAAAGCATTTGATGAAGTCCCGCACGAATGGTTTCCCCTCAAACTTCGGGAAATTGACGTTTATGGGGATATCCTCTCTTGGATCACCGGTTTTTTGAATGGTCGTAGTATGCGAGTGAAGGCAAATGAACCTTAATCCGAGCCCATTATCATGACCAGTGGAGTTCCACAAGGCTCCATTCTCGGTCCGAAGTTGTTTAAAGTATCCATCAACGACCTTCCATCAGAGTTCCGAACGGATTGCTTGCTATATGCTGATGACTTAAAACTGTGGCTAGAGATGTTTGAACTTGAAAATAATGACCGGTTGCAAGCGACCCAATACCGACTGCACAGCTGCTCATTAAAGTGGCATTAAGGTGCTTGTCAATTATGAAAGTGCTCTGTCCTCCATCAGTTCTCCATACTCGTGCCTATCACATTGGTGGTTTCTTGCTCAGGAAGGTTGCATATGAGCATGACCTTGGTATACTTGTGTCTCCTGATTTGCGCACAACTCAGGACACCTTGAGGAAGATAGCGGCTGTTAACAGGATCTTCTGTGCCATAAGGCGATCCCGTATGACTCCTGAGATCTTCATACTCCTCTTTACTTCCCACTTGCGCCCTAACCTCGAATACAGTTCACCCGCGGTCTATCCTCTTACAACGACCGAATGTGTTTTCATAGAGAGGATCTAGCGACGAGGATCGAAAGCGACCTCAGCGATCCGGAATTGGTCCTACACCCGATGACTTCGTAGGATGAACATGTTTTCCATGAATTATCGTCGTCGTCGCGGTGATCTAGTTTACACCAGATGCATTCTGCTTGGGATGATCGGGAATGAACTGAAGGCGTTCTTTCAATTCAGGTTTGGTGATTCGATACGGGGTCACTCTTGGAAACCGTTTAAGCCGAGGAGGCTCCGAGTCCATCCGGATGTTACCTTATCCACTCATGTTTTCCAGGACTGGAACAATTTGCCCGAACCAGACGTTAGTGTGCAGAGTGAGGCGTTTCAGACGATTGTTGGATTCTTATCTGCTGATCAACCAAGGATTGTGCCGTTTCCGTTGCGATCGTGGTGGTCCCCCATGTAATGACGTATCACAAGGATCCGCGCTATCCTTGCTCTGAACAGGATTTGATGGAGCTGACACAGGATCTCATTTCTTCTCTCTGCTACTCCAATGAACTCATCCAGTCGCTCGTTTCGTTTAGTGTGGTCTCTTATTAGGCATCCAGCCGCCTACGAGATATTTGTTTTGTATTTCAGCCCCCTAGTATAGTAAGCCCTACGTACACTTCGGACACGGAGGCCCTCGGAATCCTTGATCGGACGTATACTACACCACCCATGCAGATTGTGGTCGTTTAGTAATATGTGAGTACATTGGTCTCCATATGTATTTGTAACTTGCCAATTGGGTTTTAATAAGCCTTTTGAAATTGAGATTTGTGTTCATATATGTGAAGTGAAACGACTACTTACCGTTTGAATTTATTCTTTATTGATTGCTACGCTTTTGTCTGCGAGCGTTTGTACATCGAAGTCAGTGTGCAATTGCAGCTCCGTCTGAGTATTTAGGTTACTCATGTAATCCGGATTTCCGTTTGTCAGGACGAAGTTCAACAGATCACACAGATGACGCATCAGCCACTAAGTGTCTGTCTTATGGCACCGAAGCCCGAGCCTACTGAAACGCAGTCGTCAACGTCATCACTAAAGGGGGAAAATATTTGTGCCACTTATCCTTCGGAGAAGAATCCACCGAATCCCAATACGTTTTGTACAGCCGAACAGACGTACAAGACTGAGCAACCTGTTTCTTTGGATCCATTGTACGAACATTACGATTTGGCGGTTGAACAATTGTTGGTGCCTTTTGAAATTGAGGTTTGTGTTCATATTTGTGAAGTGAAACGATTACTTACCGTTTGAATTTGAGCTTACGTCATGAATTTATTCTTTATTGATTGCTACGCTTTTGTCTGCGAGCGTTTGTACATCGAAGTCAGTGTGCAATTGCAGCTCCGTCTGAGTATTTAGGTTACTCATGTAATCCGGATTTCCGTTTGTCAGGATGAAGTTCAACAGATCACACAGATGACGCATCAGCCACTAAGTGTCTGTCTTATGGCACCGAAGCCCGAGCCTACTGAAACGCAATCGTCAACGTCATCACTAAAGGGGGAAAATATTTGTGCCACGTATCCTTCGGAGAAGAATCCATCGGATTCCAATACGTCTTGTACAGCCGAACAGACATACAAGACAGAGCAACCTGTTTCTGTGGATTCATTGTACGAACATTACGATTTGGCGTTTGAACAATTGTTGGTGCCTGCTGTTCCTGATCCAGGTATTAGTCAGTAGTATGTGCACTTACATATACCTGTAATTTCACTTCACCAGTAACTAATAATTACTGAGTACCACACTATAGGTATCAGGGTTAAAACCGGAACTAAAAAATTAACATGACTGCCATTAAGCACTAATACTAGCCATATCCCAGAGTATTTTAACCACACGTGCTCGTGTTCCTTTCGCCACGACAAGCTAGAATACACCGGTATAAAAATGGGAACCTAATCCAGTGCTCGCATAGAAGCGAAAGCGGGGAGAGTACATCGGAATATATTCGTGGGAACCATAATAGGGTATGAGCGGACGAAGACGGAGGGAGCAGATTTCAGCACACGCAATCAAGAAGACAAGGCTTGAACAGAAGGAATTAAATGGAGACTCAGGAGAGGGAGCGGTAACACAACAATACATTAAATGCAATCGTGACATGACTAGGTCCGTAAATGATAGGTGTCTTTCGTGTCACCAAAGTGCTATCGAACCCGTGGAAATCGGCTGTGATGTGAACCACACTTCATACGTACCTGTTGTTTGGCTCCATTAGTTCAATGTCCTAGTGGATTATTGTGATTTGTTGCTGTTTATACTGGAACCTGATTCTTTTGATTAAGTTGACGCGAAAGTAGTCTTTTTGTAATTCGCATCATGACTGTAAAGTCATCTGTACGCACCAGTGCCGCCATGAGATAGGTTGGCGTTTGCATCATGTATATTGATGCACTTAGCGTAGCGAGATAGAACTTTTCATGTGGATGAGTTGTTCAGACTGGACCGGTGGCCGGATGGCTAACGCGCTTGCATCCTAATCGTGAGGTCACCGGTTGGAATCGGCCTAGGTGCCAGCGCCCTATCGGTGTAACCAATCCTCGTGCGACTGTTGGTGTTCGCGTGGCAGCGGAGCGTCGTTACGGTATGTCGTCGTATTGCTTTGGCCTTTGAGAACGGTTAGGAGAGAGTTGATGCATGTGTCGCAGTGTATCGAACTGTGATTGTCGGGTAGCTTTCAACCGCGGCTTCAGTGTGCTGTCGATGGTTTAAAGACTTCGTGCGGTGCAATTGTTTTGTGTAATCGCATGATGGCTTGACACACGGTTACACCTGGACACATTTGCTTCATCAGTTGGTCACAATGTTCGGCCATATTTTTCTCTTTAATCCATTATTTTCCTTATGGCTAGGGGTTTTAGTTGTAATTTTAATGTATTGTTCCCGGCAACTCACAAGCTACATAGCTCAACCACAAACCGGAAAAGCACCAGACGTGTTTCGCCCTAATTGGGGCTCGTCATTGGTGCGCATTCCTTCAGGCATGGAACCCATGACCGCTAGAGGCTGACGCCTCTCCTAGTTTCAAATACTGTGGACATAATGTCTAGTGAGAGGATGTCATGACCTCAGACGCTAACCACTGTCATCGTCTAAGGTAGTAACCTGCATGGCAGTGGAAGCTAGGTCCTGCTATACTCCAGTTAGCCTGCAAATTATGTAGCCGAGCCACCGTTCCCCCTTTTTCAGTGGCTTAAGCTGCTGGCTACTTGGTGTCAGCCTCTATTCGTCATGGGTTCGATCCACAGTAGGGAACCAAGGGCACACGCTTCACTGACGAGCCCCAACTGGGCGAAACGCGTCTGTCGCTTTTCCGGAGCTATGTAGCTTATGAGTTGCTGCGACGAACACATTACTATCCATTATTGGTTGCGCCGCAACTCTTGTTTCTGTTCGTGTTCTCTATGACGAGTACTTTGTTGTTTTCCGTTCCAGAACAGCGGACCAATACTTGTGAATACTGTGGGAAATCTTTCTCCTACAGATTTAATCTACAGACCCACATAGCCTCTGTCCATTTGAGTAAGTGTATCGCTGAGTGTTTCGTTAGACCCAATCATTTTTGCTTTGAGACCCAACAACAGGATGAGCGTTTTCACGTTTGATGAGTTCAACCAACTTTTTCTGGGAATTCCTACCTTCCCCGAGTCTTCGTCAAACTTCATTGGTGCAAGCACGTTGTTGCCGCCACACACGTGCGACTCTCCTCCTCATCCCTATCATAAATAGACATCGGCTCTTGTGTCGCAATACAAAAAGATATGAAAAGTGAGCTACTAAACGCTGCAGAATACAAATACTAAAAAAGCAATGCAATGCTAAATGTTTTTATGCATGGAATGCGGGATTGCAGTTGGAGGGGGAGGTAAGCTGGAAGCTGAAGAACAACGAAACACAACGCAAACGCCATCGAGATAGACTGCCGTTTTAAAAAGTTTATCCAACCAAACGTGTTCATCCTCCTTGGGACCCCAGCCTTGCAGTCGGAATATACTGACCAATGAGAAGTTCGAAGTAAGGGCCTTCTTCTCGATCAGGTCGTGGATTGGCGTCCCCACTTCTTTCACCCACACCCTAGTCGCGCAAACATCGCATGTCACGGGCGTCGATGTGCTGGTATACACACTACGTGGCCCAACCGTCGTAGCCTGATGCGTGATATAACCGTGTTGTGCGGTTCACTTGTTCTTCTTGCACCACATGCGCTTCATCGAGCCCACCAATTGCTGATGCTGTGGCCCCATCCGACATGAGCTAAACTGCGAAGGAAGCCATACTTGAAGGTTACAAGTCTCTTTAGGTCTGTCCATCTGATGAGCTAGGTTACGCAACTGTGCAGGGTGATCGAACGCACAGTTGCGTTGTAGACTGCCTTTCAGATCAAGTGCGGTGTGTTCGCTGCCAGCCGACAGCAGCAGCAACACGCCGGTGCGCTTTACCGACACTTCGTTGCAGCGCAACCACTATCAGTCGCACATGGACTGCGGATACTGCGAGGGTCGCCCGGTTCCCAACGTAGGCTCGAATCCGCGCCTTCACATTAAAAGGCAGGCTTGTGATCTTTTAAGCTACAGGCCGGTTTCCAGCCGAAATGTGCGGGTAAGCATCGATAACTTCCGGAGAATGCGTAGTGACCCAATCTCCAGGTCTGACTTGCCACATGTAGACATACCTGCTGCTAATAACGTCTGGCGGATATGCGACCAGTGGCTTTCCACTGTGTTTACTGTGCACTGACTCAATCTGCAAATCAGCGTGCTCTGATGCACATTCAAAACATTTGACTTCGTCAGTTGGCGTATCTCGAGAACACATTTTGCTTTCTCTAGGCTGAGGCGCCGCCATGACATCCGTCTATCCTTCAAAGTGCGGGCATATTTTGCGACTGTCCGCGCTGTACTGTTGTGCAGTTGCGAGGAGGCCTGTTCGTACTGTTGACCTGTGCCGGCTCTCTGTCTTCGTGCACTGCTTCCCACGGTCCAGTATCCGTGTTCAATGGCTCACCACGTAACGAATGTGGCAGTTAAGCAGCGTGCATTTGGGGGGCGGGGCGGCAGCCGTTCGCTCAAGTCGCTCCTATCGCTGCGTCAGCTGCGGTGGCTTGGACACGTATTGCGCACGCCCGTTCATTGTCTTCAGCATTGTTGCCGGACAGGACTGGAGGAGGCGGTGCGGTTTACAACCTACGACTTGAAGAAGTGGAATGAAAAAGATGGTGAAACATTTGGCCTCGGTCTGTTGTTCACGACTTCCTGGTTTGGATTTCAGAGATACGGAGTGTCGCTGGTTGGAGATCACGGAAGTTATGGTTCAAGATCGACTTCAGTGGCGGACATGTATCACTACGTTTTGCGGGGATTTCTTTTCCCTACCAAAACGAATAATAAAGCCCAAAAACTGAGTGGATAACTGGCTAAAAAGTTTTTTTCTTATTTCTTTCCTGTTTTACTATTCGCCCATGATTCCGTATGCACAATATCAGTACCGCAGGTTGCGATCAATATATAAGTATCTATGCGCTGACAGCGCAGTTGCGGATATCTGCCGAAACGCACTCACAAGTCGGCAAATACAAGTGCGTGTTCGGAGTCCAAGCTCGTGCTCCAACTCGGGCGACAGTTTTAGACACATCTCCAACGGTAACTGATCGCAATATGATCGCTCTACGTTAATGGCTAGTCCGAAGCCGGTGGGCGCCGTGTCACTCTTCTAGGGGTGCTGTGTCGAAAGTCAGTGCTCGCGAGAAATAGACGAGCATCTTCACACAGGTGTAGCAACCGCCCACCGTCATCATTACGCAAGCCTTCCCAATGTTGCTCACTCAGATGCAGCTCACCAGTGGACAGTTTTTCAACTTGGACGTCCAGATCACCAACAAGCATTACAGTACCTAACTAATGGGTAGTATGATGATTTGCGATATAGAAGCAAATGTTGGTAGCTCAGGTTGTTTAGTTGATTGGCTGATTGTTCGCTGAGCTCGGCAGGTTGACTGCAAACGTTTCGTCACCACTCGAGGTGACATCGTCAGTGCGAGTGTATTTAGCAGTGTGGCGCGTACGAGGCGTCGGTGAGTGATTTGGTGAAGTTTCGTCGCAGCTAGACTCAGACAGACAGTCACCACACATCCAGGTAAGCGCTCGACGGTCGTTTCGTCTTATTGGGACTCGTCAGTAGCGCGCACCCGCCGAATCTGACCGGATTCTGGCCCACGACTTCGCTCTTGCGATCCAGCAACTTATGCCACTGAGCCATGGGTTGCGTCACCAGACCGCCATGACTGCTCTCTTACTGCGATAAATGCGCGGATCATCCTCCACTGTCTTGCATGTTATGAAGGTGCAGAACACAGGATTGGCCCCCTAAAACAACGACTTCCTTCGCAAGTCGCCACCAATCGAGGTGACATGTAAGCTGTTAAGGGGATTACTGATAACTAGTAAGTAGTAGGGGATTTGTTTGGTTGTTGGTGAGTTTCATCGCAGCTAGAGTCAGGCAGACAGCCACCACACATCCAAGCATGCGCTAGACGGACGTTTCGTCCTATTGGCACTCGTCATTAGCGCGCACTCGCCGAATCCTGTCGGATTCGAATCTACAGCCTTACTCTTACGAGCCAGCGACTTATGCCACTGAGCCATGGGTGACGGCAGCTGACTGCCATGACTGATATAACGCGGCTCATCCTCCACTGTCATGCATGTTATGAACTTGTAGAGGACAGAACTGGCTCCCGGAGCCGCAGTTAGATATCAGTCACGGCGGTCCGATGTCGTCATCCATGACTCGGTGGTATAAATCTCTGACTCGTAAGAGTAAGGTCGTTGGTTCGAATCCGGCAGGGTTCGGCGACTGCGCACTACTGACGAGTACAAAAAGAACGAAACGGCCGTCTAGCGCATTCTTGGATGTGAGTTGGCTGTCTGCCTGACTCTAACTGCGACGAAACTGCACCACTACAGTATCTGTAACGAACTAGCTCGTTCATTTGGTGATCACCGAATGTGTGCTACCATTTGTGGGGCGTACGCACAGTTTGGCCCAGCGCGAAGCTTTTGTCGCACCAATGGCATGGGCAATGCGCAATACCGACTCTTCGCTGCCGCGCAACCACCACCGGTCGCACATGCGATAAGGATACTGCGAGGGTCGCCCCGTCCCTACGCAGACTCGAACCCGCGCCCTCGGATTACAACGCGGGTTTGTTATCTTTAAGGCTACTGGCCGGCTTGAACGAGCAAACCACTTTGACGGCGCACATCCGGCTGTTGATTGTGATCCGATCGATCAGAGTATCTTCAGTCCAGCGATTCGAAGCGATGCTCCCACCGGCTTGACCGGCATTTGAGGCTGCGTCAACTCCAGACAGGCGCAATAAGAAAGTGCCACCAATGTCGCATGGAGGGGATCGCAATGTGAGTGCAGAGCTCTATTGTCCGGGCAAGTGCTGCCTGTTGACCATTATGTGGTAATATGCACGAGGTCTCCAAATAGAAACGGATGAGGCGACCTCGTCCATTTGGTTGGATATGAACTTTTCTACCGGACCGGATTGATGCCATACGATTGCCTGTGCGTCGAAGCTAAAAAACAAGCGACTGGCGAAACAATATCGGAAGGGCCGAAAATTGGGGGATTTAAAATAGTGGGATAATAATGTTGTAAGGGAGCGGGAGAGGAGAGTAAGATGACGAGAAGGCCTGAGTAGTAGCATACTCTCTCCCTTCCAACCTGCTCGATGCAGCAGATATGGTGCCGTTGATCATTCTGTGCGACGGCCAGAGCATCAACAACATTGTTTGAAATTGTAGTTTTCCGTTTACAGCATGTGTATTGATGCATTCAGAGGAGTGAGACAGAACTCTGTGGAATAGTTGTTCAAACCTTTAGAGAACGTTCATTTAAGAGGGCAGATACATGCGCCGCTGTGCATCGAACTGCGAATGTCGGATAGCTTTCAGTAGCGATTTCAGTGTTCTGTCGATGGGTTAAAGACTTCGTGCGGTGATATCGATTTGTGTGGGAGAACGAAGGTAAAAGCACGTGTCCGCAGTACGGCGGTACTCAGTATTAACGCTTCGCTGCTGCGCAACCACCAACAGTCGCGCGTGGGCCAAGGTACTGCGTGGGTCGCTCAGTTTCATAGTCAGGCTCGAACCCGGACCTTCAGATTACAAGGTAGGGTTGTGATCCCTTAGGTCACGGGCCGGTGAGAGAACGAAGGATTAACACACAGATGGACCCGGGAATATTTTCATCACATTCATCATCTGTTAGTTGATCACATATTATATAGTACATTAGTACCTTTTTTGCGTCCCCAATTTTGTTTTCGTCCATGTTCTGTATGACGGATAACCCGTTATTTTCTGTTCCAGAACAGCGGGCTCATACATGTGAATACTGTTGGAAATCTTTTTCCCATCGATTTAATCTACAGACGCACATAGCCACTGTCCATTTGAGTAAGTGCACAGCTGAGTGTGTCGTTAGACTCTACCATAAATGAATAAACAAAGACTGGGTAGGTTCGCCTTAACAATAACTGTCTGCTTTTGTGCTTGTCATTACGTGTAACTGTGACGTTAATGGTAACTTGCTACCCTATATTAGCGTGGTTTAGTGGAATTACCGGTGAACTTAGTACCCGCGGTGGCTAGAAAGGGCGTTTCCATCGACCATCTATCTTAGAGTGATGTTTCTACACTGTGGACTACCGGGTATCCGAATTCTGTCCCGCAAGACATTTTTTCTGTGCTGTCAATATTTTCCTCAGTCGGTTCAATAGTTGCCATTGTCTCCATTGAAGGAAGTTCACCTTATTTGGACCAGATTACCTTGTTCATATCAATTCGTATATGACTGTGTGGAAGCAATCACACAGGCAGAACCGATATAACATTGAATTTTCGCATGTGGGGGTTCAACAAGAGCCTGCGCAGCAATACCCTCGGGAAGATGTACTTCCCCTACATTATTGATTACTTGCACACAACGCATGATCATCTTTTCTTCTTTGGCCCACTATTTACTGCTCCGCCATCTGTTGCTTTCTATGTATGTTCTATGTATGACGCCTATTTTCTGTTGCAGAACAGCGGGCCTACACCTGTGAATACTGTGAGAAATCGTTTTCCCATAAATTTAATCTACAGACACACGTTAAAACAGTCCATTTGAGTAAGTGTACCACTGAGTGTATCGTTGGGCTCTATCACTTTCTCTTGCTTTTTGTTCTGGCAATATATATATATATATATATGTGTGTACAACAGATTATTTTATTTATCCCAATGTTGTGCCACTCTGTAAGTTTTAGAGAGTTTAGCGAACAATCGGTTGGCTTATTTAGTTGGAGATATATGTGGACTCTGCCAGTTGTAATTCCGTTGGCCATCTGTTGTGGTTTGTGGCTTCGGTGCTTAGATTTAGCTGTCACTGAAACTGCGAACAGCCACTTGACGCGTGCACTTACGGAGGGGCAATAGGTGGCTTACACTGCAGCATCCGAGCTCCACCTGCGCACCGCGTATCCAGTTCAGTTCAGTTGAACAACCATGCTCCGAGCACCGAAGTGCAGTAGATCCAATTTCCACCACACACACTACAAGGATAAGAATAACTAATAGGTATGATAGTGGGGTTGGGTACAGTAAATTGTAGAGAAGATAGAAACAAGAAGGGGATACGTTAGACTAAGCAGAATGGGTCGAAAATTAACCGAATACAGGAACGCCACTGCCTTCGTGACTGCGCCAATTCTGACACCGTCTCTAACCACTGGTGTGGACCATTCCTAGGCCCGCATTCAGGAAGACGACAGACACCAGCCTAACCAAGCCTCAGTCAATTTATTCAAGCTTCTAAGGCATGTCATGGACTGGTCACTCCGCGGTTTTGCCCAACTTGGTGCGGCCACGGCGTATAATGGACCCTGAGGAATCCGATCAGCGGCGTAGCCAACGCGAGCGATTAAGATTCAGCAATTACTCGAGAGAGGCACCAGAAAGCTTCTTGCCGAAAACCAACTGGCGGATCTCGACCTTGCTCACTCGGTGTTCCCACCAGACGTGAGCAATACTCCGCAAACACCGGTGGTCGAATACGACCAAGCGTTTAATGTCTTCGCCGCGAACTGGCCAGGTCTCTAATCCATACACTAACACAGGCCTTTTCGCAGTTATACACTTTACCTTTCACTAACAAGTTGACATCTTGCCGTCTCCATAGATGTCTGAGTCTGTAAAGCCACACGAGACCACTGGATACGCGAAGTAACTTTCTCAGCGATGGGACCCCTTGAGTTGACGAAGCTACCAAGATAATTGAACCGATTCACCACTTCCAGTTGTTGTTCGGTGATAGGTACAACCGGAGGTGTGTCGGTCCAATCCTGCAACAGCTGTTTGCACTTTGAAGATGCAAAGCAAATGCCGAAGCGTGCAGCGCTACACGTCAGTCTATTCAGTAGTATTTTCAGAAGCGGGAGGTGGTTTCCAATACTTCAGCACCAATGCTGATTCGCGGCAACATTGTAGATTGCGCATCCGGTGAAGGCTGAAAGAGACAGTTTTACTTGTGTTGATGGTGATCCCGAATTGGGCCACTGTCGAAACTAGAGCATTAGTCATGTGCTGCAACTCATCCGCGATGTGTGAAAACAACGCACAGTCGTCAGCGAACAGTAACCTACGGATAGTTGTCTCCCAGACTAGAGATCTCGCACCGAAACGACGGATGTTCAGCAACCCACCATCAATGTGGTGCTCCACACGAACACCGTAATCACAAGCGGCATCAAAAACACAAGACATCATTGCATGCAGATATATACTAAACAGGGCAGGAGCTAAGACATAAACTTGCATCACACCAGAGACAACTGCAAAGTCATCCGATGTCTCTCCACTCAGCTGCACCCTCGCTCGCATACCACTGTGCAGACATTCAACTATACTTAAAACTTACGCGGGCAACCAAACTTACCCAACACCAGCCACAATGCCTCGCGGTTCACCGTATGAAATGCCTTGGTGAAATCAACAAAAAGCGAGTACAAAGGCTGGTGTCGTTCTCTGCACTTCTCTTGCAACTGACGAGCCGCAAACACCATATCTATAGTGCTGCGACCCGAACGGAATCCACATTGCTCTTCCGCCACGTTTGGTTCCACAATCTGACTCACGAGGCGATTGAGCAGGATTCGGGCAATCACCTTGCCCACACAACTGAGCAAGTTGATGCCACGATAATTCGTGCAACATTGCTTGCTCCCTTTGCCCTTGTACAGTGGTAGCACAAGGGCATCCTTCAGCTCAGAAGGCACTTCCTCCTCAATCCACACGCGTTGCACCAAGTGGTGCAGCGCAGTCAACAACGCGGGTCCACCGTGTTTCAATACTTCAGGCGGGATCCCCTCGGTACCGGCACACTTGCTGTTTCGCAGCTGAACAAATGATCTCTTCGTCTCATCCGGTGTCGGCGTGTCCGCCAGACTCACCTTCACCTCGTGCTGCTTGAGGCCGTTCAGTGTAGGCCGGTCGTTCTCCGAACGGTTGTTCAAGAGACAATCAAAGTGTTTTCGCCAAATCTGCATTATATGTGCAGTCTTTGTGCAGGCAGCGTCTGAACTACTGTCAATTAGCGTCCTCAGTGACTCCAACCTCGGTAGATACATGCTCTCATGGAGTCAAAGAATCCCTTGTGTTGGCGGCGGTTGGCGTGGCATTCCATCTGCTTCACCTTCTCCGTCCAGCATGCATTTTTAATGCGACAGTTCTTTCGGGTCAGTCCTCCTCGAATTCGCCAAAACGTTCTCTTCTTCCCCAAGTCGCTGGGTCTGCCATATGTGCAGGAAATACTTCATTCTTCCCCGACACCAGTGCGCGATTCATCGCATTGTTCTCATAAAACCAATCAGGCCGTTTACGTTTTCCGCACTCGATGGTCTCCTTGGCAGCAGCTGTCACCTGGTCGCGAATGTGGTGCCACAGGTCGCCCCTTGTGGCTGTGTATTCCACATCACCCAGGCGTACAGCCATCGCTTTCTGCAGCTCAATACGTTTCTCCACAGTATCGTGGGAGAGAATGTTAAATTTACACAGATTCACGGTGGGAGTGCAATACATATATTTACGAAAATCTATGTACAATTTGGTCCGCACCAAATTGTGATCAGTGCCACAATAAGCTCCACGCAGTACACGTGTCATGGGCACTTCACGCATGCCACGCTGACGTACGATGACATAGTCGAGCAGGTGAGCGTGACCATTCCGTGGATGCGTCCAAGTTTCTATATCACTCGCACTCAGTGTAAACCGAGTGTTCCTGATCAGCAGACCGTGTGTGGCACATTGTGAGTACAGCCTGTCACCGTTTACATTCGCTGAACCAATGCCATGCCGACTGATGACATCTGTCCACACCGATGCATCACGCCCAACGCGCGCGTTGAAATCACCCAGCAGAAATAGTCGGTCGCTTCTCGGCACAGGCCGTATCACGGAGGATAGCTGAGTGTAGAATTGATCACGTGTATCATCAGGATAACACGTGATCAGAGCGTATGTGCTTACGGAAGTCGGAAACTTACCCCTTCCGAGTCGTAGGCGAACAGTCATCAGTTGCGCGCTGATGCCTGTTGGTTCACCCACCAGCTGGCGATGGAGGTGATCGGATATTGCAAATCAGACCCCATGATCACGTGGTGCTGAGGCGGCGTTGCCCACCCATTGGGATGTATAACCAGCACTTACTTCATGCAATTTACCGTGCTCAGCGATCCGGGTCCCTGAACGCCGCAATATGGATGTTGTAGAGCGCCAGTTCCATCGTGACCCGTGCAGTGCGTCGCTCGGGGCGCTCACTCGACCTCCGGTCGAGAAAAGTCGCGCGTTCTAGCGCCTGATGCTGAGTGCTTTGCGCGCAGGCATACTATTGCATTAGTGGGCAACTGCACGCGACGTGGCGGTTGTGCTTCTTAGGTTTGCTTGAGGGACTCCACCCGGAGCCTTTGGCTCAATAGCCTGACCCACAAGGCAGTGGGTGGTTTGGAGGTTTGCTTGAGGGACTCCGCCCGGAGCCTTTGGCTCAATAGCCTGACCCACAACGCAGTGGGAAGCAGATCCAGCTCGGGAAGGTGATTGCAGAGACAAATTGGGATTTGCTTGAGGTCCGTAACATGCATCCTTTGAGGTCGTGGCACGATTTCTATATGTTTTGCGACCTTAATTGGATACGCACCTGCGATCACGGCCAGATGCTGGAGGGTTTTGGCGAGTTTGCACCAATTTGTCAGAGGGCTGCCTGGCTTGATGCGATTTGTAGCAAACCATTGAGCACCCTAGGTGCCCTCCCACTGTCAGAAACAATGCGTGGTGCTCGTGTTCTACGCCAATCGTGTGGTGAGATTATAACACGTAGATCTGTTGGCTCCCATTGCTAGGTTTTACGGGAAGTGGATCATCGACCACTTCCTAACCTGCATGGCACACACACGCCTGACAGGAGAGCGACTCGGGTCCTCAGCCAATCCATTCGATAAAATGTACACCCGAAAGACAGCGGGTCTAGCACATGGTCAGTTCACTGACTCATACGGATTAGTGTCCTGGATCTTAGCTAGGAGAATGGCGTAACCTGACTCTCATCCAGCGGTCGCCACGAGGAGGTGTCCAGCACATGAGCCCATTGCACAATAGTAGCAGCAGTGGGTAGACCATCTCTCAGGATTTAGACACCACCAGCCTCATTGCACCGTAGTCTCTCCAGCCTGGATTCTATTCATTGTTAGCAAAAGCTGCGTCCTTCTTTGACCCTAATTTCCTTGTGTTCGCATCGTTTCCCTCAAACCATTCGGGTCGCTTACAGTTTTCTTACCAGATCGTCTCCTCAAGCACAAGGCCACCTTTTCTCTGAGGTGGTGCCTTGCGTCTCGGACTAAGAGGAGGTAACTGCCAAAGCTAGTCGCCCCTACATTCTCTAGCTTATTTTTCTTTTCAACAACACCAAAGAAGGAACACTTAATTTCCGCCGATTAACGAATAGTATCAGTGCATGAATTTACGAAATATGTGTGCGGTTTTGTCCGCTTTCAGGTTGTTCCACACTTACAGCTCCAGGCTGTATACGTGTCATGCGCAATTCACGCGTGACACGCTGCTGTACGATTATATAGTTGAGCAGATGAGTGTGGTTAGTCTGTGGGTGCATCCAATTAGCAATATCACTTGTACCCAGTGTTAACTGTGTTTATCAGACCGTGAGTGACACATAGTGCGTGCAGTCGCTCATTTTTTTCTTTTTGGCTCGGCCGATGCCGTCCGACCCAAGTACCTATGTTCAGACCACGACCTCGTCCAATGCGCGCTTTGAAACCACTTAGTAGGGATAGTCGTTCGCTTCTCGACATGGATCGTATCACGGAGGACAACTGAGAATAAATTGATCTTTCGTTTCATCAGGATACAGACTTCTCCATCCGACGTGTACGCAGTATTCTAAACCGTAGGCTGATGACAGTGGACTGTTCAATCAGGTGTTCATTTGGGATTTTGGATAGTAAAAATCCGACTCCATGTTCACGTGGCGCTGTGGTGGCGTTCAGCACCAGGTATAATGTGTAACCAGCACCCGTTGATCAGTCTGCGGTGTCACACTGAGTGCCGCAATATTATTACCGAGTTCCATGGCGACCAACGCAGTGCGTCCTGCGGGACGCTGATTCGTTTTCCAGTCCACTGCTGTGCGCACTTTCCAGCATTCGATTTTGAGCGCTTTCCGCGGAGGCATACGTTTGCGCCTGCCTACCTGTAGATCGGGTAGTTGTGGTTAGGACTGGTAGTATGAGGTCGGGTGAAATGGGAACGTGGAGGTGAGAATATGTAGTAAAAGCGGGAGAAGAAGGGAGTAAGGCGCCAGCAATGTCATCTTTTCGCTTATCCACTCCACTATTTGCAGCAAATTTGGTGACCCTATCCTCTCCATTGCGCGACGACTGATGCAACATAAAATTATTTGATGTGATGTGATGAATGGTTAATGGTTGGACAGATACAATGCCAGCACTTCCTCAACTAGTAGGAGAACCACTCGGGTCTTCAGTCAGTCAAATTGTGCTCCCGATAGGTCGCGAGAAATGCGCCATAAACCAATCAACATACGTGAATGTATCCTGGCTTTGGTTCAGAAGGGACAGAACCCTCCTCCCAACATGCAATCGCTATGGGAGAGCCGTCCAAGTATCGATTCCGTAGTACAGCTATAGTTATATATTCCTGAACATCATTGGGTAACACATGTCCGTGACCATCATTACCTCTTCGATCCCTTCCTTATTGTGTCACAACTTTTGTTTTCGTTCATGTTCTGTATGACGGATAACCCGTTATTTTCTGTTCCAGAACAGCGGGCCCATACATGTGAATACTGTTGGAAATCTTTTTCCCATCGATTTAATCTACAGACGCACATAGCCACTGTCCATTTGAGTAAGTGCACAGCTGAGTGTGTCGTTAGACTCTACCATAAATGAATAAACAAAGACTGGGTAGGTTCGCCTTAACAATAACTGTCTGCTTTTGTGCTTGTCATTACGTATAACTGTGACTTAGTACCCGCAGTGGCTAGAAAGGGCGTTTCCATCGACCATCTATCTTAGAGTGATGTTTCTACACTGTGGACTACCGGGTATCCGAATTCTGTCCCGCAAGACATTTTTTCTGTGCTGTCAATATTTTCCTCAGTCGGCTCAATAGTTGCCATTGTCTCCGTTGAAGGAAGTTCACCTTATTTGGACCAGATTACCTTGTTCATATCAATTCGTATGTGACTGTGTGGAAGCAATCACACAGGCAGAACCGATATAACATTGAATTTTCGCATGTGGGGGTTCAACAAGAGCCTGCGCAGCAATACCCTCGGGAAGATGTACTTCCCCTACATTATTGATTACTTGCACACAACGCATGATCATCTTTTCTTCTTTGGCCCACTATTTACTGCTCCGCCATCTGTTGCTTTCTATGTATGTTCTATGTATGACGCCTATTTTCTGTTGCAGAACAGCGGGCCTACACCTGTGAATACTGTGAGAAATCGTTTTCCCATAAATTTAATCTACAGACACACGTTAAAACAGTCCATTTGAGTAAGTGTACCACTGAGTGTATCGTTGGGCTCTATCACTTTCTCTTCATTTTCGTCCTGCCGATGAAATGAGTCACCGAACAACTTATCTGAGATGATATCAACTGGGTACTACTAAGTAATAAATTGTCAGCAGTAGGTCGTAACGCCGCTTCGCTGCCACGCGACCATCACTAGTCGCGCGCGGCCTGAGTATACCGCGAGGACGCACACCCCTACACGGATTCGAACCAGTGATCTTATGGTTGCAAACTTGGCGCACAGACCACTCGGCCACCGGCCGACTACCAACTGATTGATCCGGATTAACCCCATTCCAGCCGGTGGTTCGGCGGGAATGTCCCAGAACGTGGTTTGTTGTTGCCATAATGGTGTCCTCCCTTTAATACGCCACAGCTGTCAGTTTACTAACACTATTATATCATGGGTAGTTTGTCACTGGCTAAGAGTACTGTCTATTACCTTTCCGCGGTCGATCATTTTGTGGGGGTCAGCCTCGATTTCACTAGGTCGTCAGTGGAAAAGCCTATGAACTATTTGCCCGTGTCAGATGGCGAATAGTGTAGAGCACGGCTAATGATATCGGTGTGAACCACAGTAGGGTGTGAACGTATGCAGGGGGTGAGGTCAGACGTCAAAATATCACATAGGCGAAGGTAGAAGTCTCGTATTGAAGGATTTAACACTTGAAAGACCGCTGCGCCGTTATACCCAGAATGCCTGGGACAGGTCCAAATTACCACACTACTGTATTTCTTTATCCCAATTTTTGTTTATAAATTTTTTCGATAAAGTAACGTGTAGGACATATCTGTAACGGAAAACTACTTGTATTGAACTTTAATTTTTCCAAAACTTGTATTATATTTGCTTATTCAGATTTACATTTGAAACAGGTGGTAACTCAAACTGCCCACCTGAGCCACAAACTAGTTTTTCACATACAGGTCACTTTGACTTGTTGCCTGTACAGTAACCAGTCTGACACTGCCGACTTTTATTTCTCTCACGACTTCCCAACTGCGTTGAGTTGTTTGGCGTATCTCCAGTTGTCACATACTTTGTGTGATATATGGATACACGCAATTCTTCCACAAGCCCCAGATAAGACCTGCGGGATAATTTATTTCCGGAGACACTATTCTAAAGTATCTAAGAATTACTGGCAGCCAAATTCAGCACGTTGAAGAATACTTGAACTGGCATCCGTCGAGATGATGACTTAATTGTGAGTGCTCTTGCTAATTGGTCGTGTACGTCTACCCCATACTTCGTGTTTGTAAAATACTACAGTCTGGGGCTTCTTTCTAGTCTTGAATAGAAAAGTTACTGTGCAAGGAACTGAAACCAAAGCATTCCTTTTACACTGGTGGGATGTTAATGTGTGCTTACTTTTATCCTTCATAATAATTCAACTTATCCACTCTCTACTGCTCTGCTTCAAAATCGTTGACAATTCCTTTCAATTAGCTCAAATAGTCCCCGCCATAATTGTACTTTTATTGGAGTGTTCCTCGCAATGCTGCAGATTTGAAGTTGTCACATGTGACATTGTAACCCTTTCCCAATATGGGTGACATAAGGGTCAATACCACACGCTCGAGAGCTCACCGTATTTCACACATTCCTTAGCGTGGACAGTTGGTTTTGGTCTAGCCATGTGAAAACATTCTGTGATGGCATCCCACCAATACTAGTTGTCTGGAACTCCATTGCGGTCCACCATCTTCCTATATGTGAACTTTACTTGAAGAAGCAGAATCGGCCGATATACTCTCGTTACTGTCCTCATGAGGAGTGTCACTATCAGAATTCTAACTATCAAGGATGCTGTGATCTACTGTCGGCTCCTAGAAAATGAAATCTTCATCAGCATCATATTCATTCTCGTCCGCAGATTCGTTATAATCCATAGCTCGTAAAACCACAAAAGCTGTTTTCCTCCTACGAACCATTATGTATCAATGGCACTGAAATTCATCAGACCGAACGCACAATATCACTGGGAAATCCTGAATCGTCTAGTTCTCACTCCCGTTTTGGCTGGTATTGCATGTAATTTTGTCAGCAATAATATTGGTGGCTGGAGATGAAAAAAAGGAAACCGGCTTAGAGGAAAACGGCCATTTTGATCGCTGGCGGACTTTTTCGGTAGTACGAACACAACTACTTCTTTTCTCAAAACCATAACAGATAGGAAAGTAAAACATCACAGTTGTGAAGGACATCTAGAAATATTAACAGTCGCGAAATATCTCTGAAAACTGTTTAAACGTAAATCCACACATGTAGTAACGCTGAACGGTCAAAATTGTTCATTGGAGATGTAGGATGCGGAGTGGTAACATACAAACCAAATACAGTCGACCATGACCAGTGTCCGTGTCACCAAAGAGCTCTCTTTAAAGCACGGCTATCGAACCCGTGGCAAACGGCTGTGATATGAGCCAAACTTCATACGTACCTGTTGATTGGCTCCATTGGTTCAATGCCCCTAGTGGGTTACTATTTACTCGATCTGATATGTTGCTGTTTATAATTGAGCCTGATTCTTTTGATTAAGTTGACCCGAAAGTAGTCTTTTTGTAATTCGCATCATGACTGTAAAGTCATCTGTACGCACCAGTGCCGTCATGAGATAGGTTCGCGTTTGCATCATGTATATTGATACACTTAGCGTAGCGAGATAGAATTCCTCACATAGATGAGTTGTTCAGACTGGACCGGTGGCCGGATGGCTAACGCGCTTGCATCCTAATCGTGAGGTCACCGGTTGGAATCGGCCTAGGTGCAAGCGACCTAACGGTGTAATCAGTCCCCTTGCGACTGTTGGTGTTCGTGTGGCAGCGAAGCATCGTTACGGTATATCGTCGTATTGCTTATGCCTTAGAGAACGGTGAGTTAGGAGAGAGTTGATGCATTTGCCGCAGTGTATCGAACTGTGATTGTCGGGTAGCTTTCAACCGCGGCTTCAGTGTTCTGCCGATGGTTTAAAGAGTTCGTGCGGTGCAATTGTTTTGTGTGATAGTATGATGGCTTGACACACGGATACACCTGGGAACATTTGCTTCATCAGTTGGTCACAATGTTCGGTCATATTTTTCTCTGTAATCCATTGTTTATTGCGTCACAACTCCTTTTTTCTTTCATGGTGTGTATGGTAAGCAACCTGTTGTTTTCTGTTCCAGAACAGCGAGCCCACACCTGTGAATGCTGTGAGAAATCATTTTCTCATAAATTTAATCTGCAGACGCACATAGCCGCTGTCCATCTGAGTAAGTGCACCGCTGATTGTGCCGTTGGGCTGTATTTTTATTTTATCTTCATTTTGCTCACCACTTGTACATTTTGTGTTTCGTTATTGTGTATCGTAGTGGTGCTGTTTAGCTAGCAACAGCACTTCACTTCAACATTTTTAGTTGATCACCGGCCGATAGCAAATACGTTCTCCTCGATTTTGTAATTTGTTGGTCTCTGCCCTACTGAAAATGGTTCTCAGTGGGGTTCTCTGCATGATAAACAGCTACATCTTGGGCGACAGTCAGTAGCGCGATGCATGTCTTGGCCGTTGCACACCGTTTGATTCATAGGCCACGGTCTTTGCTGTGGTGTTTCACCAAGCTTGATTGCTGTGGTAACAGAGGAATTTCAACTTCCTTAGCACATCCACTGCAACTAATATCAGCGCGTGTTCACGCAAGCTACAACATTTGTTTTTTTCATTTGTTACGTGAACGCGTAGCCATATGGTCGCTTTCTGTGTATAATTTATTCGGCACGGTTTTGGAGGTCAAAGCACAATCCATAGAGCCCTTTATGATTCGTAACTTTTACTGGGCTCTTGGTGATGAACTGACAGCTGATAATGCAAAAGGTATCCCTGTTTATGATCTTTGGAGAAATGACTTCTGGTACTTTATTGACAACAAGCAGATTTATCTTTCATGTGAGGTCGTACGAGCTGCTGTTTAGTTGTGGATCTTTGGTTGAGCAAGGGTGCTGGTTTTCATGAGATATAGCCGCTTGACTCTGGATGTGTAGCCCTCCACCCCGTACAGATCACGATATCATGTTGTTTATCGCAGGTATTAGCTGGGGATTTGCGTTGCCTCTGAGATAATGTGCACTATGCATTTTGCCATTTAATCTCAGCGCATTAATAAGGATTGCAGTTTTACCTCAGACTGCAAGTTACATATCTATTTTCAAGCAAGAAGTATGGTTGCGTTGCTTCTGGTATTGGTTGGCTATGGTGTTGGTCTTTGAAGGTGACTAAGCCATTGGACATGTATTGTTGATCTAGGTTGTACTCACGGTTGATGAGGCGATGGCTGTCTGCAAATATCAGAGTAAACAGTATGGAGGCGCGGTTAATATCAAATTTTTAAATCAAATACCACGCAGTGCCACCGGACTTAGGTTTCTCACTGTGGGCTCTGGATGGGAACCCGTGGAGTGTCCGACGGTCTTCAGGTCCTTGTGAAAAAGAAGGAGGCATCAGGAGTGCGACAGCACACCGTGCTGACGCAACCATCATCAGTTGCGCGTGGGCTAAGGACACACTGCGGGGGGTCACCCGGTCCCCCGCGACCTCCGGGTTGCAAAGCAGACGCTTTGTCCTTTCGGCCACGGGCCGAGCAACAACATTTTTAACAGTCGAAATATTGGGCTCTTTTTTCGACTTCTACTGATTATTTCATCTTGTATGGTAAGCCATCGCTGCCTTTCGAATTGAGAATGCATTATCTTAGCCTCAGATGCATCTACGAAGCTAAGGAACAGAAAGTCATCGCAATCAGTTAGTGAAGGTTGTACAGTTTCTCTAGACTAGGCGTCCTTTTGTTGACATGGCTTCTTAGTGCATCAAGAATGTCCTCCATTTCGTAGAACGAAGTTTCCTATAGATTTACGACTCTTTCCGACCAAGCATTCATCCAGTATTTATTAGCTTCCATTTTTTGAGGTGGTCCAACAATACCTGGCGAGAAAGTAAGCTTATTTATTTTACTCGTCGGCTATTTCGAATATAATCAATCTGGCTGTTGGTTTGTTTGTGTTTGGTACGTTTTTAAGGATGGTGTTTATGGTTATGTTCGCTTACGGGACAATAACGTTAGAGTTGACCTATGCAATGGGTCTTTTGTGGGTACGTCCGATCCACAGTTTATCAAAACTCTTGGTGTGTTGGACCGAACACCTTGCAACGCAGTCTAATCAGGCAGAGTCACCAGCTTCCTCATCGGTCATTAATCACCCTTCTCCTTTGGCCGTCCTCTTGGATCTGCGCTCATGAACAGGTCGAACTTGAGATCAGACTGTTGAATTTGCATAAGACTGCAAGAGCAAGATGGACTTCCTCCGACCCTTTCCAAATTCGTTGGATCATCTCTAATAGATGATTTGTACAGGTTATTAGTGAAGCTGTGGGAGGAGGTAACTGTTTCAGCAGACTGGAGACGCTCGGTTATGATCACAATTTTCTACGGAGGCTCACGTTCGGAATACGGCAATCCTAGATGTATCAGTCTGATCCAGATTGCCTCTAAACAGTTTGCCTCTGTCGTTCTCCATAGACTGGCTGGCACCCATGGCTACTCACATTGGCGATGTTGGATTCATTATCTCAGTGAGCGACCTGCGGCACCACATCCGTGCAAAGGTGACGGCTGCGGCCGAGGAAACCATCGGGAGCGCGAACTATAAACGGTCCGATTGGTTTGATGACAATAGTGCGACCACTCGCGCATTGTTGTCGGAGAAGAATGCATCATTCGCTGCATTGACCACATTTTCACATTACGCCAATTGTTGAAGCACCATCATGTTTATTGGCGACCCACTGCAATCGTTTTCCTTGATATTGCAAATGCCCGATTCGGTAGATTGATGTTTCCTTTGGACCTGTCTGCTCAGATAAGATGTGCCCGATAAATATATAGATGTCACAAGATCGTTGTACCCGGATAGTTCGTGCAGAGGGAGGGCTTATGGCCGACTGTCCCGCCCTTCAGTATCCTTTGCGGTGAGAGACAAGGTTGCTCACTGTCAATTCCCTTCTCAAGTTCGCCATCGACGAAGTCAGGGAAACTGCGTTCACTAAGCACAACTTACAAGATGTGGAGTTGATCCCAGGTGATCTACTTATTGACTTGGAGAATTCCGACGACATTTCCATAAAGTATGACAGCTCCCAACATTCCAAGCAGTACAGCACAAGTCTGCACTGTCAGTTGTATTTGGGCTATGCTTTGCGCCTTCGAAATGCAAAGTCATGCACCGAGATTGGTAGGGACCCACTACTGCGCTGACCCTTAGTGATAACGAGGTAGAAATGGTTCAGAAACTCATGTACTTAGGGATCAATATTGGCGCCTGTGGAGTAGAAGATGAGGGCACGGACCGTATACGCATAAGCTCGAGGTGTTCCTGCTAATATTCGCTATCTTTGGCGCCGGCGCGACGTCACTCTTGTCCTGAAGAGCAGAGTCTAAAATGCAGCAGTGCGTTCAACCCTCCTGTACAATTAGGAAACCTGGCTTGTCAGGTAGACAGAGATAAATAGTCTACTCGCATTTGACCATCGCTACCTTCGCAGTTTATCCTATAGCTGGTGGGACACCGTGCGAGCAATGAGCGTGTTCGGCCTTGAGTATTTGGTGCAGGAAGATCGAGTGAACGGATCAGCACCATTATATCACGCACCAAATTCCGATGGCTGAGTCACTTGTTGCGCATGCCAACACACCGACTGCCGTTGTTTGCGCGACCGAGGCGTGGATGGAGGAAGAGGAAGGGAAGGCAACAGACGACATGGTGAAGAGGGATGAAGGCCCTTAAATCGAAGTTGGCCTCGGTTTGAGCTTATAGGATTCCTAGTTGGGGTCCCCAAAGACGCTGGACACGTTTGGCTGGATACACTTGTTGACATGGCTAGGAGTTCTACCCCAATGGCTTTCGTTCTGAGTTCCCCTCTCTTACCCAATGTGTAATATGAAGTTTAGCATTATATTACTTTACTTTATACCTTTTGTTTTCTGTTAATTTTAATATCTTATCTTTTTGTATTAATTGACACCTTTTACTCACCCTAAGTTAACTTTTATTCATGATGATGACACTGATGATGTGATGTACATAATCAGTGAACTCTTGATCTGCCGCTGTACTGAAAACAACCTGACCGATCCTTACAGCGTTGAATTCAAAACGAGATAAAATATACACGTAAGAAAGTTGGCTATGTAAACAGGAATTGATGTTTCTTTCTTACCTACTGACTCCCAAGTGAATCAGACTGGATTCGGGAATTATTTCCCATTTTTTTATGTATTGCGGCACAGTAGCTGAGGTGTTTCCCCCCTCTAGCTAACATGTATAATGATGAATGATGATGACGGGAATCATTAAGGCAATATAAAGATTGCTACTTCTTGTGTCTCTTTCGTGCAAATAGATATTTAAGCGACATGACTAGTCATTTGAGATCAAAGCCGGCTACTGGATCGCACGCGACCTGAGCTGACTACAGTTGGCCACAACATGCATAGTGGTCTCTCTCCGAGGCTACACTTGTGACATTTTCTCGCAACTGTCTGTGTCGTCCTAGTGAGATATCTTTTCAATGTATGCCCTTTGAGGAGTAGAGCTGGACCATATTGTTGGACACCCCCCTCGTACATATAGCATGGGTCATATTGTTAGACCCATAACATTGACTCGACGTTTACGATTGTCTGCCGAGCGGAAAACAGTCGACTGGTTGCGTTTCCCGAGGCCGTAGTCCTTGATTAGCGATGCCCTATTATTTGTCTACAGAAGCGGTTTGCCGTCTTTATGCTGATCTTATTATCTTGTCCAGTGTACTCTCTGTCTGTTTTCCTTCGTGATTCATCTGTAACTAACTACTTTCTGCTTCCCAATGCAGAGCAACGCCCCTATCTATGTGAACACTGTGAGAAACCGTTTGCTCATAACAGCAACTTACTGAGACATCTCAACTCTGTTTGTTCAGGTGAGTGCCCCATGCTGAGGCTGATGTTGGATTCCTTATGCTTCTTCACCGCAGTTGGGCTAAACCAACTTTCACTTAAACTAGGTCTTTTTAAGATGGATAAAGTTCATTCCACTTTATTTGCTTTGTTCTGCCTACCTGAATAATCTTTTTTTTAACCGGCCACATTGCTTACGCTAATTGCGCTTATCTACGGTAACTTTGTTGCGTTTGTAGCATTTGTAACTTGTGGACATTTCTTACTTATCGCGGATTCGTTGCTAACCAACTTACTTCTTATGGCAGTTTAACGAAGAGCTATGCCACCGTATCTGTATGCATTATTCGATTTATTTTATTTCATCTTGTCGTTTCAAGTGAATGGTTGTTGCTTGATATCCCCGGTGTGGCTGCGCTTGATGTGCATGATGACAAGGTGCCTACCTGTCTATTACCCACTACCTCGTCCATACTGGCTCTAGGAGACAGTTGATCGTTGCTGGAGGGTTTCAGGGTGCACGGTCCTTGTGGCCGTGCTAGGCTCGAAGAGCGGTTCCATGCACTCAGTGTGGAGCGGACTACGGTCCAGCCACTGCCTTGTGTGCGGTTGATTCCCCAAATACAGTGTGCTTGTGTTTGCCTGTGAAGGAGTGTGGGCCGGCTCCGTTGATGAAACGTGGTTCCCATCCACATTTCTCCTGGTGTTATTCCTTCGGGTTTACACTAGATATGGGGTGTGTGTGGTTGGAGCTGTGAGTGGTGCAGCGCAAGCCATCCATGGTCCCTCTGTAGGCGCAGGCGTCCTGTGGCTGGCCACAGTGACAGGCAAATCCGAAAGCGGATGCCGCCAACCATGGAGTTGATAGCATCAATTGGGTTTGATTTTATTACCGGTTCGAGTTTGCGCAGGTGTGATGAGTGACCTCCCGCCACTTGTGGTGGTGGTGTTGGCGTGGCTGCGAAGCGTCCGTATGGTGTGCCCGTGTACTGTTGATTCTTTTGGCGTAACGGACGTTGAGTGGGGCAAATATGTCAGATTTCTCGAATTTGAGTAGACAAACATGTATTTGTCTTGCCAGAATATACGTCTGGATCCACCTTCCGCGATATTCCTCGGGTTTTAACGAATTTCAAAACAATTTTAAGGAGCGACATTTGTGTGAGTTAGGACGTGGTTGACTTTTCCGTTTAAATTTGTTGCTTTCTGACGAAACCATGTTTTATGCTCAAATGCCTCTGCATCATCGGTCATAATAAGGTTAACAGCTAACGTTTTCTGTCAGATGATCGAACGATTGGCTGAATTTACTTGTGAATTGCTGTGCCAAAAAGGTCCCGTAGCCGTACGGGGAGGGGGCGGGGTTGCCAGTATGTCACCCCCCGCGTAACTAGCGCTTAGGGTTACGGAACGATAGAATCTTTTGCTCAGATTTTCGGAACGGATATGTATATGGACTGGATAAAATCAATTTAGTTTGTGGAATCGTACTTATTTATTTTTTCGGCTTGCCGCATTCATTTCTTCTATTTAACTTTCGAGATGCAACGCTTGCATGCTGAAGGAAACGTTGTTGTTTCCCGTTTTTGGATTCACTAATTTGAGTTAGTGTCAGTCAGAAGTCAGCTTCCGGTGCCGGACAACTCTGTTCTTTGGCAGGTGGTCACTCGTGCTAGGACTGTTCAAGTTTGTTGTTGCGCATCAATCATTAATGTGGGCTTGCAAATTGTAAATTATGTTGTTACGCATCTAAGCATTACTTGCGTTTTGTAGTCGCCAGTGTTGGATATTTTGAAAAAATGCAACGCCGTTTGAAGCTATCTAGTATACTTGGTTCTCGATAATGGTTTACTACTGTTTTAGTATCATGAGACCATATACTCTAGGAAATCGGGAATTCTGTGAATTGTGCGCCACTTCAGTTTTGATAATATGCATGATCGACTCAACTATTCCTTAAAATAGGCATCCTATGCATTTTCACTAAGTATAACAAGTAGGATAACTCACTAAATGAGACACTGCACATTTGGAGAAACAGCATACAGGTGCTAGCACTATGCATCCCATCGCATTTAACGCATTCCTGATGTATATACATTTGCTCTTGATGAACAGTTCAGCAACAGTTGTGACCAATGTTGGTTTTCGATCAAATATTATTTGTCTCGAAACAGTCTGTTGTGTGCAGTTTAATGTAGTTGAACGGCTATGGTCCGTTCACAGAAGGGCGGTCGGTCCAATTGCCTTTGCCCCCATTACCGATAAAACGGTGACGGACCTAATGTGACAGTCGCTGTTCAACTTAAAATAATTTGGCGGAACGCGTAAGTCACTTGTTAGACTGAATTACGAGGGCATCGCCGACTTTGTGGCTGTGGCACAACAGCCGACCCCACCCACTGAACCGCTACGTTCCTTTGACAAGTCATCGACTGGTCCCTGGGCGCAGCATTAGCAAACTTTCCACACGGAAACCATTTTCTAGCAGAGCTACGAAGGTCATGACCTAACCGGCGTTGACGCTTCGAGAATTGGACATCAGATGGTTGAGCGTTAAATGACGAACTGCCGTATTGTTGAGCCCAAACAAAACACTTTTCATGCATCAGTGGCCAACCATGTTTAGCTTTTTAATTACCTGACCATATCTCTAACCTGTGCAGTGACAATGGTTCCACTTCACTGTCCCAAATCTTCCTTTTGATAATACGCTTGTATCCAACGGTTCACACTGGTTGTAGCATCGAGTGCAATATTTACCCCAGTGCTACGACTGATAATGTACTGTAGGTACCTACATATGGAAAGCGGGTGTGGTAAGCAGACGCGGTGGGCAAGTTGGTCTCCTATTATAATAGGAGACAAATGATGCATAATTATTCATTATTCGATGAATCTCATAACGTATATCCGTTTGCATTCACGGCAACACATCATAATTTTTCCATCGCCATGGTTCACCCGATTGTTATTTTCGTTTCACGTTCCAGAACAGCGAGCGAGCGTATGTGAATACCGTGGAACGCTGTTTTCTGAAATGGACGATCTCCGAGCCTACGTGAACTTTCTTCACTTTAGTGAGTGCGATTTTGAGCGTGTCGTCAGACTAATTTCTGGGTTAAATCGTATCACAGCGCCAAATACTCCTTTCCTTCACGCACCCAGTTTTGGACACCGGCACATATTCTGATTGTGTAGGAAACTACCAAACTAGCATCCATCGTCTGCATTGTCTATATATATATATATATATATATATATATATATATATATATATATATATATATATATATATATATATATGGTTGGCGGCATCCGGTTTCGGATTTGCCTGTCACTGTGGCAAGCCACAGAACTCCTGCGCCTACAGAGGGACCGTAAGTGGCTCGCGCTGCACCACCTACAGCTCCAACCACACCCCATATCCAGAGTAAACCCGAAAGAATAAAAACGGGAGGCCTGTGGTTGGGAACCTCGTTTCATCAACGGAGCCGGCCCACACCTTCACAGGCGAATACAAGCACGCTGTATTTGGGAATCAAGCACACACAAGGCGGTGGCTGGACCGTAGCCCGCTCCATAATGCCCCTGTTTTACCGCATTCGCGACCAGGTGACAGCTGCTGCCGAGGAGACCATCGGGCGGGCCTGATTGGTTTGATGAGATCAATGCGACGATTGGCGCGTTGGTGTCGGGGAAGAATGCAGCATTCGCTGCACATGTCGCAGATCCCCAGTGACTTGGGGAAGAAGAGTCAGTTTCGCAAACTTCGACGGCGACTGACCCGAGAGCTCCGTCGCATAAAAATGCGTGCTGCACGGAGAAGGTGGAGCAGATGGAATGGTACGCCGAGCGCCGCCAACACAAGGAATTCTTTGACTTCTTGAAGGCGGTGTATGTACCGAGGTTGGAGCTGCTGAGGACGCTGCTCGATGCTACTTCAGGCGTTACCTGCACACAGACAGTAAAAATAATGCAGATCTGGCGGAAACACTGACTCTCTCTTCAACAACCGTTTGGAGATCGACCGGCCTACATTGAACGTCCTCAAGCAGCACGAGGTGAAGGCGAGGCTGGCGGACACGCCGACACTGGATGAGACGCAGAGAGTACTTGCTCAGCTGCGAAACGGCAAGTGTGCCGGTGCCGACGGGATCCCGCCTGAAGTATTGAAACCTGGCGGACCTGCGTTAGTGATTTCGCTGAACCACTTATTACAACGTGTGTGGATTGAGGAGGAGGTGCCTCCTGAGCTGAAGGATGCCTTTGTGCTAACACTGTACAAGGGCAAAGTTAGCAAGCCATGATGCAGGAATTATCATGGCATCAACTGGCTGAGTTTTGTGGGCAAGGTGATTGCCGAATCCTGCTCAACCGCCTCGTCAGTCAGGTTGTGTAACCGAACGTGGCGGAAGAGCACTGTGAATTCCGCTCGGGTCGCAGCACTATAGACATGGTGTTTGCGGCTCGTCAGTTGCAGGAGAAGTGCAGAGAACGACACCAGCCGTTGTACCCGCTTTTTGTTGATTTCACCAAGGCATTTGATACGGTGAACCGCGAGGCATTGTGGCTGGTATTGGGTAAGTTTGGTTGCCCGCGTAAGTTTGTAAGTTTAATTGAATGTCTGCACAGTGGGTTGCGGGCGAGGGTGCAGCTGAGTGGAGAGATCTCGGATCACTTTGCAGTTATCTCTGGTGTGAAGCAAGGCTGTGTCTTAGCTCCTGCCCTGTTTAATATATATCTGCATGCAATGATGTCTTGTGCTTTTGATGCCGCTTGTGATTACGGTGTTCGTGTGGAGCACCGTATTGGTGGTGGGTTGCTGAATATCCGTCGTTTCGGTGCGAGAACCCTAGACTGTGAGACAACTATCCGTATGTTGCTGTTCACTGACGACTGTGCGTTGTTTGCACACCGCGCGGATGAGTTTCAGCACATGACTAGTGCTCTGGCTTCGACAGCGGCCAGATTCGGGCTCACCATCAACACAAGAAAAACTGTCTGTCTCTTTCAGCCTTCACCGCAGTTCCAATCTTCAATATTGCCGCGAATCAGCATTTGTGCTGAAGTATTGGAAACCACCTCCCGCTTCTGCTACATTGGGAGTGTGATGTCGACTGATCAGCAGATACACAGTGAGCTGCGTATCCGCGTCTCGAAGACAGTGGCGGCATTCGGGAAGCTTGAGTACCAAGTGTGGAACAACCATAAGCTTACCGTTGGCACGAATCTGATGGTGTACAAATAAATTTTGCTGTCTGTTCTTCTATACGGCAGTGAAACGTGGACGATGTACCGGCGGGATGTGCGATATCTCGAGCGGTTCCATCAGCAGTGTTTGCGACGGATTTTGCACATCGGTTGTGGCGACAGAGTTGTTGACACGGAAGTGTTGCGACAAAGTTGTATGTATGCAGTGGACGGCATACTTTTGCTGAGACACCTGAGGTGGCTCGGTCATGTGAGCCGTATGGAATCGATGCGAATACCGAAGCAACTATTATATGGTCCGCTGAGCACTTGGAAGCGGCATGTGGGGAAATCAAAGCTTCGTTACCATGACATGATCAAAGTGAGCCTCTCACGTTCTGATCTTGATTGCAGATCATGGGAATTGAAGGCGGTTGATCGTCGTGCATGGCGCGATCTAATCACGAAGGCAGTTGCCGAAGTGCGGGAGAAAGACCTCATACATGCCGAGAAGAAGCGGCAAGCACCGATGGGTTGTACTCCATCGACATCGAGCGCAAGGTGCTGTACCACATGCGGTCGCGAGTGCCTGAGTCAGGCAGGCCTAGTGAGCCATGAGCGAGGCCACTTGGGAGCACTACCGAAGCGACGACGGCGCAGCGTTTGTAGGCACGCTGCATTCGATTTACTAACCGCGTGCTTGCATGCTAAGTCTAATTATTGCATGTGGTGGGTTTTCAATTTTGTCCTAATGATTTTCTTTCTCATATTATTGTCTACCTGTACTCTCTTCTATAAACTTGCACACGTCGCTCAAGGCAATTGTAGTTAATTTCGATAACCTTTTCGAGTTTGTGACATTTCCGTAAAATATACTTTCTGACCTCGTGAACTTATCTCGGATTCATTTATAAGGAACTTATTTCGCATGATCATTAATTTAAGATTTATGTCACCGTTTCCTAATGCATTACTCGATTTATTTTCTTTCTTATCTTTCACACAAGTGATTGGCTGTTGCTTGATATCCCAGGTGTGGCTGCGCTTGATGTGCATGTTGACAAGGTTCCTACCTGTCTATTACCCACTACCTCGTCCATACTGGCTCTAGGAGACAGTTGGTCGTTGCTGGAGGGGACGGGGTGCACGATCCTTGTGGTCGTGCTAGGCTTGAAGAGTGGTTCCATGAACTCAGTGTGGAGCGAACTACGGTCCAGCCACCGCCTTGTGTGCGCTTGACTCCCCAACTACAGCGTGCTTGTGTTTGCTTGTGAAGGAGTGTGGACCGGCTACGTTGATGAAACGTGGCTCCCATCCACATGCCTCCCGGTCTTATTCCTTCGGGTTTACACTGAATATGGGGTGTGTGGTTGTAGCTGTGAGTGGTGCAGCGCAAGCCATCCATGGTCCCTCTGTAGGCGCAGGCGTCCTGTGGCTGGCCACAGTGACAGGCAAATCCGAAACCGGATGCCGCCAACGATATATATCACCACTTGTAAATTTCGGAGGTAAGTTACTTAGTTTAATCTCGCGACACTTCTTCATCCTAATTTTCATCATTTTCTTTTCTTGTAACAGGCACAGCTTCTATCCATGACGATGGTGGAAGAACATATGCTTCGAGTTGTGGAATCGAAAGTCACTGCCCAGTTTGTTGACATTTTGCGATATCTGTTTGCTTTGGATGCTGTTTATCAGCGCTCTGGTCTCCAATCATATAGATACAAACGACGTTATCCGCGTTATTCGGAGAAATCTACCAACCGATAATTATTACTGATGTACAAATTCTGCTCGTGTTATTGTACATAGTACATTTTGCCAATTTCGATCTTGAGTATGCAGCAGTTACGCAATTTCCATATACTCAATCTGATCTGTTTCTCAATGAATGGTTTTCAACCTAAGACGCGGGAGTCCACTGGTCACATAGTTACGCACTGCAGTCATCGTGGGTGTACCGCACGCTAACCGGTGGGTATGTTGCACCCCGACATCTGTCAATTATTCCAGTATTTGTTGCTTCTGTCTCGACAAGATTTGTCGTCGCTCGCACGAACAAAACCCCTTCGCTGCACCCATTCGGTAGTGAAACCACCTGTCATGCCACGTGGTGACCAAATGCGACAACTGTAACACATGTTAGAGCGCGCCCTCTTGCGCATAGCATCTGGCAACGGCAGTGACCCGCTTCGCTATCATAGAAGTAATAAGGTTGAAAGCACCGGGTGTTGGTACTTCGCGGAATTCATTACATTTGAGGAGAATTCGGTGGTTGCTCACCTTTGTACTCTTCCTCAGTACCGTTTTTCTCACTTCGGATTTCTCACAGAGAACAAGGATAGCAGCACTGTATCGTTTGCGCAAGAAACTGTCCATTGCTGGTGCTGAGTGGTGTATTCAACCACTTTCTTACTGTTGCCTAATGAGTGCACGTATCTGAGATTCTCCATGTTAACATGTTTCTGACTGGAATCTCGAGACAACTCTTTGATACATGTATTTAGTTATGAGTACGATGTTCCTTGAGAGGGGTTTCGCTGATGTTCGCTTCTGTTTGCCTACAGCCGGGGTGTCGAAACTTTTTGCAAAGAGGGCGACATTTTGTGAGGTAAGAATATGTTGGGACATATTCAGTCTGACATTAAGATAATAACAAAAATTACATGTATGAAAATATCCACGCCTGAATTTATTATTTCATGATGAGGCCGCAGGCCAGTTGAAATGTTAATGCGGGCCGGACCTTAGACATCCCTAGCTTACAGCGATGTTCAACTGCAACTCTGAGTTGCAGAGTAATGTACTTAGGTGGAAAAAAAGCCGTAGCTGGTTGTTGTTAAACGAACTGTTCACTGAGTTTGACAATTTGGCCACAGATATTTCGTCACCAGTTGAGATGACCTCAATAGTACGTTATTGTGTGGCGGAGAGATGCGATATTTACGATACGTAAGTAAGTTCGATAACCGTGGGAGGGCCATTGATCCTAGTTTCGGGAACACAGTAGACATCGACACTCACGGTGTCCAATATGCATGCAAAAGCAGCCTTTCAACCTACTTATTTTGCAAAGCAAACGTTGAATGCCACCAGAGAAGTGGAGCAGCAGCGTTATAGGAGCTGTCAGTGGGCTCACGAGGGACGGAGACTTGCAAATGACAGAACTCTAGTGTGACTAAAGCCACTGTCATTCGCACTGCGGGATAAATAAGGGGAGCTAGCATATAGGCTCGAGAGGTATGCAAGAGAATGAACGGAGGGATCAGTATTGGCAAATTGAAGCTTATCCGTCTTGCCATATACAACGTTTTGAGCAACGAACAACGACTTTATACGGATTAATAAGCACTGCTTTCCAAGCCCTATTGATTAGTCTGGTAGGTTATAGAAAAACGTTGGCGAAAAAATGCAATAGGTCTTTTACGGTCTTCCACTTTGCACTTATACTTCTCCTAAAGCTAGCGGTGGAAGGTTTTTCGATCCACGATCATAGTAATTATTTTGCCTTCGCATTATGTCCCGTGTCGATCGTGCAGGGAAGCGGCCGATGCTATCTCGGGCTGTAGTAGTATTGTAACGGTTGATAGCAGCGTTTTTGCCCTGCTACTGAATAGTCGTTGCACCGATTTCGGCAGATGGCCTATTTCTTCTCTCCACCAGCATTAGGTAGGGGTCTTTGTAAGAATCCTTGGTTTGAATGAGCGCATTCTTTGACTCTTTCAATGCTGACTCAGCCTTTCCGTTTGACTGGCTTTGAGCTAAGCTAGTAAGCCGGTGACGAAAATCCCATTTCTTGCTAAAAGCGCGGAACTCCGCGCCACTAGTTTACGGCCCATTGTCGGAAACCACCACTACCATGCCGAGCGAATTGGCGCCGTGACTTGTTCACCACGACTTGCGTGCCAGTCGCCGTGAGAGTATCAATCTCCAAGTAGTCACTGAAATAATCAACCAAAATAAAATAACTAATTCCGTCGTGTGCAAAAATGTCCGGCGTGACCATCTGTCATGAATGTCACGAAGCACCGTCGGTTCTTTTGACTGGCGCACATCGTGTGTCCTGCATGCCAAACACTGACACCTAATCACGTATTTGACTGATCACTCCTGGCCAGAACATCAGCTCTTGCAATTGTTGATTCCCAAATATGCATAGTGTACAATCTGCAGCAATGAGTGTTGCAGTGCTTTCGGAACTATCAATCTGTTGCCTTTGTATATTAATCCGTCTTGGGTAATGAGTTCGTCGCGAAAATGAAAGAAGGAGTTAACACTTGGGAAACAAATTCCCTTGCCTTCGGGCCATCCGTTCATTATTGTGTGCTTCAGTAGTCTGCACAGTTCGTCCTCCTCCGTGCACTGTTGGAGCTGATGCAAATGTTCCTTAGTGACAGCGATCAACTGTGTTGTGTGGACGAAATCCGGGTCTTCTTCTATTTCCGGTGTGTCTGACAGGTGCACCCATGACAACGTGTCGGCAATGTGCATCTTGGATCACGGTCGGTAGACGATATCCAGGTCATACTTCTGCATACGAATGATACCCATTTACAGGCGGCGTGTAACTACATTGAATGGCTTACTAGCGATGGATACAAGTGACTTGTGGTCATTGAAGACAGTTGTTTTGCGGCCTAACGTATGGTGGTTGAAGAGTTCTACGGCGTAAACCAGCACTAGCATTTCTTCTATGAGCGTTTGACTGGAAAATCGACGGGCTTACCGCTTTGCATAAGCACAACTCTAATGGCATATTGGCTACTGTCATACTGAATCTGGTGGTTTGCGCTCCGACTTGTTGGTCACAGGTCTGGGGTTCGAATCCCGGGCGCATCGTATTTGTCGGCCGGTGGCCGAGTGGTCGGCACGTTTGCTTTCCAACCATAAGGTCACCGGTTCGAATCCGCGTAGGGGTGGGCGTCCTCGCGGTATACTCAGCCCGCGCGCGACTGGTGGTGGTCGCGCGGCAGCGAAGCGCCGTTACGGCGTATAAGCTGACACATTTTTGGCTGGCTTGCCGAACAACCTCCTCGTGGTGCCAGCTGAGTGGTTCGGGATTTTCCCGTTCCAGCAAATGGTTCGGCATCAGTGTTCCAGGACGTGGTGGGTTTTCGCCTGGCAAGCGTTCTCCCTATAAAAAGCCACATATGTCCGTTTAACAACACTGTGACGTGCCGGATGTGACTCGCCACTAAATAAAGTCACTGCCCCTTGCTTCATTCTGGCGAAGCATTGTATTCCAGCAACCTTATGCTGTACTTCTGGGGAGCATTGGGCCCCTGTTTGACAAAGGAACAAACAAAAGGCGTATGAACTGAGCAATCAGTCACCGGCTCCCAATGGGCGCGATTCCCTGAATTCGCTCCGCTGCCTTGCGGGCAGGCTATTCAGCCAAAGGCTCGGGGTGGTGTCCCCTAAGTCAACACCCTACTTCGGCTTGGGCAACCGGGTAGTATCTCGCCCTCTGAGGGGACCATGGACATTGTTGTGTTGTGTTTTATTTTACTGTTTCTGTACCTTCGTTTGAATCCCATGGTTTCTGATGGCATTATGTCTGTTAACAGACTTTTGCAAATATATATATATATATATGAATCTGGAGTGAAAGAGACGGGTCAGAATAGGCAAGGACAGGTGCTTTTATAATTAGTTCCTTGCTTTTCCGATAGAGATTTTCTTGCTCAGACTCCCGTTGCCAAGCTTCACCCTTAAGGCTCAACTTTCGAATCGGCATCATCACATCAGTCAATCACGGCAAGAAACGGCTCAGGTAGTTGACTATCCCGTTTAGCCTGCTAACTGTCTTCGTATCAGTGGGGTAAGCATCTCGTTTATGGCCCTGATTTTCTCTGGATCCGGTTTCAGTCCTGTCAAACCCAGCAAATGTCCATGAAATGCCACCTCGGTTTTGCATGGCTCGACGCTCTAACGTTTCGATTTGATGTTTCTTTCATTGCTAGTGAAGATGACGATCATGTTCCTCTCGAGTAGCATCGAAAACTAGCACGGCATCTGATACACAAAAAACTCCGGGTAGACCCTCCAATGCTTGCAACAGCCGCTTCTGAAGTATGTCGTTGGATACCTTCAGACGGAAGCCATCTGAAACGTTCCGAAGGCGTTCCAAGTGTGTTCGCTGAAGCGAGGTCGACTTACGTGAACAGCTTTGTCTTAGATAACTCTCGTAACATATAGTCTAATTTCGACAGCACATAGTACTTTCTTCTAAGCGAAGCATTGATCCGCTTTGGGTCAGTGTACATTCGCAAATCACCGGATTTCTTAGTGTTGATTGCCACTTGGCTTACCCAATTTGTCGGCTCATCGATCTCGGCTCGGACACTCAAACCGGACAAACTCTGTAGTTCTTTTAATAGCCTTCTGTGCAAAGCTATGGGTACCTTTGTAGCTGGCAAAGCTACTGGCCTTGCAGGTTGGTTTAAAGACAGTTGAGCATATTCTCCGAATTTCCCAATAACCCATCAAACACGGCCGGATACTAATCGACAATACCTGCGGAAGCCTGACAGGATTAAACGGGATTAAACGTGGTAAAGCGAAACAAAACCAAGGCGCTAGATGGGGTCATTGTCAAAAATGAGCATAGGATCTGATGACAGCCAGAAATTCAAGCTGGTGTTCTGTTACGTTCTTT